TATGGTTTTTTTTGAGACAGGGTCTCGCTCTGCAGTTCAAGCTGGCCTTGAGCTCACTTTGTAGCCTAGGCTGGTCTCGAACTCGCAACAATCCTCCTGTTTCAGCCTCCCGAGTGCTGAGATTACAGGCATGCGCTACCATGCCCGGTCAAGATCCTTTTAAACAAACCAACCAACAAACAAAACCACAAAAAAACCAAACAAATGACAACAAGAAATCAGAGTAAACCAACATGGACTGTATCACACACCAATCACCAAAAATGATGAGGAAGGCCTGGGTTTCCAGCTGACTGCCCAGCTGAAAAAAGTAAGACCTAAGCTATCAAAAGATAAGGTGATCCTAGAACACTGGAGGAAAATTGCTCAACCTTTGGGTTATGGTAATGAAACTTTGGATAAAGAATTTTAGTCCTTCTAGAATTCTAAATTGTGAAAAACATTTTTTCCAAAGCTGCTTATTGAAACATTTTCCCCTTTTGCTTGTGCTAGTTTTCCACGTTGTCCAATTTCTGGCAGTATTCACTTTCAGACTTGGCTGCGTGTGTTAGGGCCAATATCGTAACGCTTTGGCAATTGTGTATTTCCCTCTCCACCCCATAATAGCCAGGAAATGAGTGTGGCTTAGCTTTCCTACCAACGAGACCTGCTATGACAAATGTTTTAGGGTCGAATCTTCCTCCACGCCGATCAAATCTACAGGCTCTGCTGTTTCTTTTGTACAATTTTCATAATTTTGAGTGGCCTCAAAGAGCATATTCCTCATTCGTGCCATGATTTACCTTTATCCCTCCAGATATGGGATGTTCATAATCCTCTGTTCAAGCTTCCCAAGAGGCCATCTGCTTTCTAGGAAGTGTTGTCAGTAGGTGGGGGGATATTCTTATTTCTTTAAAAAATCTTTTTTTTGTTTTGTTTTGTTTTTTTTTTTCCAGTACCGGGAATCAAACTCACGACCTTGCGTTTGCCAGGCAGGCGCTGTGCCGCTGAGCTATATTCCCAGCCCCTAAAAAAAATCTTTTAAGATGGTAGTAAGGCAGAAATTCCACATTTCTGTCTACACTCCCCTCCTTTCCTGGTTTCTAGTGCTCAGACAGTTTTGACCATCTTCAATTGCCCTATGTTTTAAATGTTAGTTTTAGTTTCCAGGATGTAAAAAAGAGCCGACCAGCTTTTATGTCATTAAGCCTAGGTAAAAACATATCTAGACAATCACCAAAATTTTACTGAGGTGCCAAGGTTTCTGAAAAAGTGTATTTCATTATGAGTCCTAAGGCCGGGGATTTAGCTCAGCGGTGCAAGTGCCTGCCTGGCAAGCGCGAGGTCGTGAGTTCGTTTCCCGGTACCAAAACCAAAACAAAACAAAACCCAAAAAAACCCATTTTGAATCCTAAATATGTTTCTCAGACTAGACTCCTTCAACACTAAAGACTTCCAAAACGAGAACCTAAACCGATAAAGATTCACACTGGGTAAGCATCTTCACTGCAAATTACACAAGTTACCTCTCAAAGTGGAAAAGGAAGTCTCGTGCTGATGCTGGCTATAAGACCATTATCCAAAGTAAAAGTGCATAAAAAATCAGCACTAGTTATATCTAAAATTCCTTTAACACGACCCTAAGAGGAATCTCAAAGGCTAGTAACGAATAGTTTTGGTAAACTTTACACATCAATTACATTACCAACAGAATTCACTTGAAATCTTCTGAGTGTTAGTTAACCCTTTTGTGTGTGTGTTAGTAGGCTGGAATGTTATTCACATCTGTCAGCTCCATGTCCCTCTGTCAAGGATGTAAGTGGTTTCCTGAATTCAACTGTTGTCGCGATCATTCTAATTCTTACAAACGCCATGTGTTGGCAAGCACGTGCAGAAAAGTGAATCTCTGCACTGTTGATAAGGCTGGAAATTAACGCTTTTATGGAAAACAATATGAAGGCCCCTCAAAAAAATTAAAACCTACCACATGACCCCACAACGCCACCCCAGGTGTATCCCAAGACAATGAAAGCAGGAAGTCAAAGGGGCGTGGGCACCCCCGTGTCCATCGCTGCACTATTCCCAATAAGCCAAAGAAGCAAGCTAACTGTCCTTCAACAAAACGGGTAAAGAGAACGTGGCACACATATAAAATGGCACACTACCCAGGAAAAGAATGAAACTGTGTCACTGCGACATGCGGGGACCTGGAGAAGTTTACGTAAAGTGAAATGAGCCAAGCACAGCCACACAAGTACTGTGTGACTGTACTCCCATGTAGGATATTAAAAAAATGGATCTCATAGTAGAATGGGAGTTACCAAAGGTGTGCGTAATCTGATAAATGGGCACTAGCTTACAATCAGATTGGAACAAGCTCTGGTATTATTGCACAGTAGGGTAATTATGTACTATTATTAAATTTCATAAAACTAGGACAAAGGTTTTTGAGTCTTCACCATAAATGATTGAGGAATGTTAAACTTGATATAAACATGAAAACATCACCTAGTACCTCACTGATGTATATCAGTTTTTATGTATTGGTTAAAATAAGATGTGGAGGAGTTTAATGTCAAAGCTGTTTGTCACATAACAGCAGGGTGTACACTGTACTTTACACACACGCGTGTGCACATCGGCTTTCGTGGTTGAGACACTTCTCAAGCGGGCAGCAGTGTAAAAAGGGCTTGCAAAGTGTACTTCAGAATCAGAGGTTTTGTTATAGTTCAGCACAGTAAGAACAGCATTTGTTAAAGGCAAGAAAAACTGGACAGCAGAGGAAGATATTTGCACTAACGCAGATGAAGAAACCATTAAATAGCTTTCTACCTACATGGTATTGCTGTGTTAAAATATTCTGGGGTCCAGCGTGATTTGGCATGTGGACACTAGAGGTATTTTTAAGTGCCTGACTTTAACACTGGAAGGTTTTAACTTTGGATTATCCTTGGCATAACAGAGCACCTGGTTACTGGCAGGATGCTTTTTATACCTGCAGTGGCTCAAAAATTAATTTCGTCCCTTAAAAAACTTGATATACCGCTGGCTGTCTGTGATGTTTTGCTCTATTGATCTCTACACATTTTTCAGCCACTGTGTAGGTGAGAATTTGGTTGGTAAAACATCTAAGTTCTAAAGAAGGGTATTTCATCTTATTTCCTCAAACCTGACTATGTGCAAGGCATGGTCTGGCTGCCGGGATATACATTACTTGTGAGTTAACATTGCATGCGGTGGAGCACCGCAGGCCATAGAAAGCGATCTGTAAAGTTACAGTGTATTCAGCGAGGCCACTGCACCTCAGGTGTGTGGGACCACACAGGCAGGAACGGGAGGGAAATTTTTAAGAAATTATAGAGGCAGAGCAGTAAGGGAACACTAGACAGATTAACAGCTGAGCTCGAGATACAGAATACGGTCTTTGAGGGACCAGCAAAAGTGGAGCCTTAACATGCTGTCGCACTCCTCCACGAAGGACAAAGGACTGGCTCTTCACAGTGGAACATTTTCCTGCTTAAAACATAAGCACGCAGCATCCAAAGCCGCGGGGATTTTTCACGATTGAAGAGTAAATACTTCGCACAATGCCTGGCAAGTAAGTTATTTTTAAAATTGTCTTAGGCCTTTGGTTTTGCTAAGCAGGACTCAGCATGCTAATTCAGATGTGGGGGTTCGTAGTATAGGTGCTTCAAGACAGGTGACGGGGAAAAGTTGGACAGTACACACCATTTGAGACGGGAAAAGAGTGACTGAAGGGTGAGGTGAAATCTAAGTCTACATAACCCCAACAGAGGAGAGTGGGGAGGCCACATCATGGATGAACTATCGCATTAAATGGGAGAGGAGTGGAGACAGGACGAGGGACTCCAAGAAACTGTCATAGACACAGGCTGCAAAACAAGACAAAAAAACCAGGCTGCAGTCAAAGCGAAGGCCACTTCCGCTTCATGTTACAGAACATGTCTGGGTAACGTGCTTGTCCTCCCATGATGGAATGTATGATAAAAGCTCTGGGTACCAAATCCTCAGTGGATGTGGGGAACAATTTGCAACTTTGGGCCAGACTAACTGGAACGAGTGTGCAAACCAGCCGGATTAACGGTCGGGACAGTATGTACAGTATGCGGGTGGGGGCAGGGCTGGAGTGCTCAGAACAGACGGGGACGTAATCATCGAAACAGAAGCACAGTCCTACAGAGGAAAAGTTCGTTTGACTCAAAAGTAACATTTCCCAAATCCAACTCACCCCTGAATTATTTTCACCCTTACCAGTATGCACTTGTGTTTTGTTTTTGTGGTACCGGGAATCAAACTCAGGACCTTGCACTTGCCAGGCAGGCGCTTACGCCGCTGAGTTATATCCCTGGCCCCTAGATTTTTCTTTCAACACTGAATGTTGCACTAGAAGTACTTTAGAAAGTTATGTCCACATGCTACTTAAAATCGTGTCAACCTAACACGGAGCACCCAACGCAGGGCCCCTCTGCAAATACTGTGCCACTACCCAAGTCCAAGCCCGAGACGCTGCTCTAGAGGACCAGCACGGATCACAGCTGGTCTCCCGTCCAAGCAGGCATTCAGGTAACTCCTATTTACACCGCAATCCTTTTCTCAGTTACACCGCAACGCTTAAGCACCGCGGTCAGCCCCACGCCCCAGTCCTCTCCGCAGCCTCTTACTGTCCGCAGCGTCCTTCCGGAGCCGCAGCAATGCAGGAAGCCGTCACAGCTGGACCTAGTGCTCAGTGTCTGCTTTACCAGAGGGCACACTGAGCAAGCCTAAGGAACCTAACACTTACCCGTATTTCTTCATAAGTTCCAAGTCTGCGATTACCGTTTAACTACGTCTCCAGCAAATCCTGCCCTACTTCTGGGCCCCTACCGCCAGCCCACCGTAAGTGTGTCTCCGGTGTTTAGGACTTTGTAGACTCAGTTCAGCTGACAGGCTCAAATGATGTTTTCCTCAGGGAAATGAAGGACACGCAACACTAATCTCGTAAGTAATGCGAACGTCCAACATTTGAAAAGTTTACTGAAAACTTTTATTGTAATCAAAACGTCACATAACGGGGTTGTAATGAATTCAGCAAATCATTCTGCTGATATTTTAGAACTTCTATCAGCTTTTGCCAGGCAATTAAAAAAATTCAAATGTGAAAATTTCACAGTAAACTCCACCCCAACTAATTAATGGTGGTTAAAAATAATAGGCCCTAGCAAAACCTCTCATGTTACATGGTCACAACTCACAATTCTGTACAAAAGTTCGTGTTATAAAGCTCTGATGTAAAAATCAAATAATCAAGCAGCAATATTTTAAGTGCAGCACAGGGTCTTCCATGTCATTATTTACAAGGCTTGAATCTCTTTACATTATAACAAAATTTAATACAGATGACTTAGTAATTAAGTCAATTAAAAAAAAATCTGCCCTTTACACAGGGACAGATTTCGCTTTTTGGTCATCCTTCTCCTTCTCCTTCTCTTTATCTTTGCTCTTCTTTGACTTCTTTTTCTTGTGTTTGTGTTTTTGGCTTTTTTCCAATTCTGCTTCAGTACCTGCATGTTTCTTATGCTTCTTATGCTTTTTGTGTTTCTTGTGCTTCTTCTTTTCCTTCTTTTTCTTTTTCTTCTTGCTGTCCTGACTTTCTGCGGAGCTGGCACTGCTGCTGTGACTCCGGGTCTGGCTTCCCGAAGGGCTGTGACTTCTACTTGGACTAACGCTAGGGCTGCTTTGACTCTGGCTCCTGCTCACGCCCACCTGCTCGACTGCTGGCGTGTCCAGGCTTTCTTTTGCTTTCTCCATCGTCTTCTCTTTCGGGTCCTTGGAAATGCTTCCAGAAGTATCGTCTTCTTTCACAGACACATTACTTTCACTGTCACTTTCATTGTAGTCGGGTTCAAAAGCAGCTTCATCAGTTTCTCTAGTCAGGTCGGAGGAAAGTCGCGAGGAGTGACTGACCTGGGGTTTAGGCTTTACAGCGTTCTTGTCAGTTTGCCCAGCAGGCTGCTGCTCCTTTTCTAGCTGTGGGTCTGGCGGGTTAAGTAAGTACGGCAACTTCCCGGCACTTGATTCTTTGCCGCTCCGCGCGTCTGCTGCGTGCTTCTCACGATCCTTACAGGAATTCTTATCTACAGGTTTTGTCTCTTCAGTTGCACGTTTTGTATCATAAGGTGACTTATGATCATGAGGTTTTTTGTCTCTCGAGGGACTAGAACTTTTCCTGGCATCTGCTGTTCCTTTTTTAGGCAAATCTCTCTCCTCCTTTGGCTTATTTTTCTGTCCGGCAGAATCTTTATTCCGAGAAGGAGAGTCTTTTCTTCTTGTTAACTCATTTCTTTCATCTCTCCGTTTGGAACCTGAATATTCTCTGTTCTCATAGTCGAGCTTTTTGTCTCTGCTGGGAGTAAAGTCTTTATTCGAGGAGCTGCGACTGGAGTCATGCTTCTCTGAAGTTCGAGACTCTTTAGATGACTGAGATGCACTTTTACAATTTCCTTGTTCATTTAAACGGTCCAGATTACTGTCTTTCTCTGGCTGAGTGTTACTCTTCCTTTTCTCAGGATTTTCCTTCTCTGATACTGAATGGTCTCGATCTTTGGTTTTCCCCTTTTCACTAGACGCAGAGTTTTTTGAACTTTTTGCCTCATGCTGCAGAACTTCATGGCTCATTTCCTTCGTTAGTTTCATTTTCTCTGATGGTTCATTCTCTTTCTCCGTGTACTTACCTGCACTGGATGGCTTAGGAGCAACGTTTTTTATAACACTAGAAGGCTTCCCCACACTTGCTATAGGCTGTGTGGATTTAATATCTTCTTCTTCAGATTCGAAGTCATCTTTATCCCACTTGGACTGAGGAACCTGGATCATGATGATAACATCTTCAGCAGGAGCGGTATTGTCATTATTGTATTCCTCCATAGTTTTAATTACAGTTCGCTTTGTGTCTGTCTTTTCTTCAGATTTCCGCACAGGACTGCCTCCAGTTGAGCTCGTACTAAAGAGGATAAAAATATTTTTAATTAATGAAGTGTTACTAATTATAAAACAATACAGGAATGCTAACTTCAACAAACTAAAGGTCCTTTTAACTTTAAAAAGCCAAAGTTTCTGCTCTAATAAAGCTATACAAAAATATGACTTAAGGATAATAAAGGTATCAAAACAAACGTTTCAACTCCCAAATCTTACAACTTTGTCTAACAATGTCTTTCTTTAAAGACCACTTAAAAGTGTAAACCAGGCCAATCCCCATGATCAGCACATTCTTAACGGGAAACGTACAAGTACAGGTAAAATTAAAAGGAAGTCATTTCCCCAAACAGGTAGCCACACCCGCCTGTCCACAATCAGGTACCTGGCGTAATCCACAAGAGTCGAGCCGGATCCCTCAGTCCCGGTGACTTTCCGTTTGGCCTTTCCTTTGCCCTTTTCCTGTTTAATTCTGCTGGAGGTGGACTCCAACTTCTCAGAGGGCTCTTTTGCACTAGGTACGTTTTCTGTACTCCCAATTTTTTTCCCAGTCTCTCGGTTGAGCTTGATTTTTTTGGCTGGGGCAGATGAGGATGGAATTTTGTCCTTCTCTGGGGACCGGTCCGCCTTTTCAAGGTCAGGTTCCATCCTGCGCTTTGGTGACGGTTTCGTTATTTCAGTTACTTCTACTTTAGAAATTTTCATGGACGATGACTCAAAATCTTTATCTACACCTTTCTCTTCAGTTTTCCTTTTTCTCTTTTCTCCCTTGCTGTCAAGCGGCTTGTTTTTCTCATTAGGCTTCTTGGCCTTTTCTTCCTTATTAGCTAGCTTTTCTGACTTGACATCTTTGGAGTAGTCCTTCTTCACCTTTTCCTCTTTGAGCGGCTTTGTCTCTGGGTGCTCTTTTGCAGATTTAGAGTGCGCTTTCCTGAGAGTGCCCACGATCTTCTCATCCTTCTGTGAGGAAGATGACTGTTTAGCGGGGTCCGTCTTTGGAGTCTCCTCTTTGGCTTTTTTAGGTGGAGGTTCAGACCGAGGAGATTTCTCACGCTCTCCATCTAGCTTCTCTGGGGGTCCTTTAGCAGGTTTTACGACGTTTTCTTTTTTGGACACAGCATACCCATCGTTCTTCCGTTTGGCCTTGTCACCTTTTGTTTTTGGTTTATCCTTTTCTCTCTTGTCCTTTTCAGACACGGATTTGAACGTGATGGAGTCTGCATCCATCGGCTCGTCTCTAACCGGTGTGGCATCATCTCTGCTTGGAAGAACGAACAACGAGTCCGTCTTGTTTTCTTCAACACCTGCGGGCTCTCTCGATTTCCTCGCAGTCTCCAACAACTCCGGGTTCAGAAAGCCTTCACTCTCTTCACCTTTTCTTCTCTTTCTGTGTTTCTTGTGCTTATTTCCTTTACCATCTCCAGGAACACTGTCGCCTTCCCTCTCTTTGGACTTTGTACTATCCTTCTGATTGTGACCTTCCCTTGTTGGAAGCTTCTCTGGGTAACTGCCACCTATATTTCGACTTCTATGACTTTGTCCAACATAATCTTCTCTGCGACCTCTTGTGAAGGGTGAATTTCTGACATTAAGTGATAAAAATCTCTCCGGAGAGAAGTTCTCCCTGTTCGTGGAGGGCCTAGGCTGTGCTCCAGCAGCATAACCTTTATAGTATTTCTCATACCACTCTCTGTATTTTCTCTCCCATTCTCGGTAACGCTCTTTTTCAAAGGGATCTCTAAAGTCCACATTCCTCCCATAATACGCTTTCACGTCATAAGGTGGTGGAACTTCTCTGTACCTATTAAAATATTCACGCTCGGCTTCTCCTTGAGGTACGTTCCGTTTGTTGGGAGACTGTCCCCTGAATGCTTGAGGAGATCTCGATCGTGAGTGATAGCGTCTGTACGGGGGTGACCTCGACCTGGACCGATGATACCCGTGGGACCGAGAGCGGGACCGGTAATTGCGACTCTTGCCCCTGCCTCTTCTGGGGTACGGAGGCGACCGTGAGTAGGAGCGCGAGTGTGAGCGGCTGAATGAGCGCGAGTAAGAGCGCGAGCGCGTGGAGCCGGATCTCGACTTAGAGTAAGTGTACGAACTTCTTGAATATGATGACCCACTATAGGGAGACTTGGACCTAAAAGTAAAAATGCAGCAGTAATTGGCAGTGGAGAAATACATACAGAATAAAATACAGATGCAGGTTCTAGCATTCTCACTGTCATTTTTCTTTATGTCAAGTTTTATCTTAGGTGATTAAAGAGGCACAGTGACCTCTACTAGAATGAAGTAAAAGTAGACGAACCAGAGCAATCGTTTATTACAAAACAAAAGTGAAGTCTTAACTAGAGTGGAGTGCATTAATGTATCGTGAGTTATATGAACTTATTAACTATTAAACAAAACACCAATTAAATTTATATTTTGCTGCCTGTCCAATTATTTAAATAGCAGTCCATTTTTCATCCTATACTGGCCAATAGTCTAATGTCAAAAGGAACCACATTTGAAGTGTAAGGCTAACTAAAAAAGAAAGACTTTTAAACAAACTTCCAGGGAATTTTTCCAATTCAGTTTTTTAATCAATAGAGTAATTTATGTTCTACTACTAACTTACAATCACACAGGTTAATGTTCCAGCACGAAGCTGTAGCCTTTGCCAAAAGGGTCCTTGTAAATGTCTTTGTCTATTTCCCTATTTCCTTCCTTCCATAAACATTTCCCAATTACTCTAAACTATCTATAAACAATGCCAAGGGACAAGGGCAATTTACTCCCCGTAACTGCTAGTTCTACGCAATAGAATTTACACTGAGACATTTTCTCAAAATAAACAGATACTGGGAAATAGGCAACACCTCCATTTCTATACACCTAGACCGAATCAGAAAACCTCCGTGAGCACAGTGTTACTTCTATCCACAGCTAATCCCTGGATATTCAAAGTCCCGCTTGTCATTCTGTGGTGAAGGCTTGCAGAACACTAACCTGGAAAATGAGCGCCTACGCTCCTTTTGAATCTTTTTGTATTCCATCAATTCCTTAGCAAAATCATTTGTAAACTCATCTAGCTTGGACTTTTTCTTTTCCCTAGTAAAATAAAGTTAAAGAGTGAAAGTTAACAAAAACCATTGAAGAAAACTAACAAGACAAATGTAATTAGATCATGAATGAAATGAATGAAATTGTCATTAGTTTTCCACTTTAAAACTATAAATAACTAGGAATCCCTGAGGAAGTTGCTTATATGGCTTTGGTTTAAATTTTAGGTGAATTCTCTTCTACTAAGTAGAAACATTAGAGAAATGTTTCCAAAGATGCCTACTTAACGTTACACCAGAAAATGGAAAGGTGCATAGTAATTTCACACGGAAACACTCACTCTTCCTTTAGTCGGCGCTGTTCTCGATAGAACTCTTCCCTGGACAAAGGCGGCGCCTGTGTTGTGGGGATGGTATTTGAATGAGCTGTCTGCACTCCTGATGATACCCAAGGTGTCGATAAGTTGGCAGGAGCTGGAGGAAACCCTGGAGGAGGCACGCTATACCCAGCAGGTGGCGGCTGGCCAGGAGGAAACTGAGGAGAAAACTGTGGGGGAGGGACACCTGGAGGGAGAGGAAGTGTATGGGGCGGAGGCGGATACAAAGGAGGTGGAGGAACAGGCACAAAGACTGGAGTCGCTGGTAGCGATGGGCCTTGAGTCCTCTGCGATCTTTCACTGTGGTGTCGCCCGCGGTTTATACTTCTGGAGAAATAAATTTCAAGATATCCCTTTAAATTTAATTGATCTCAGACAAGGAAGCTTACCTTCTCTATAAACATTCCCAAACACACAATGGAATGGATCAACTTACTCAGCGAACACAGACACATTACGCCACTTATTTGTAAATGTCAGTGCAGAGGCCGCATGGGGAGCCTGCAGCCCCTGATACTCAGGAGGCTGAGGTGGGAGGATCACTGAATTGAGGAGTTTGAGACCATCCTGGGCAACAAAGCAGGACTCCAACTCAAAAGCAAAAGGTAACTCTAACACAACGGCGATTTTTAAGGCCGTGTGGAGACTGAGATGGTGCACTAACAGGACCCTCACTGGCAGCACTGCATTTAAAAGTTCTCCTGTAAAGCTCAGATTATCACCGCACTCTTTATCCTTTGCTCCTGTCTTCAGAAGGAACTGACAGACGAATGCTGCTGGGACGCAGTCCTCCCCAAAATGCCTCTTAAGACCGAAGTTTAAAAGCAAAAAACCCACTCCCTGGCGCCTTCTTCTTGAGGAAATGGGTAAAAACCGTACAGAAAAGTTTTAATATCTGTAAGCAACACCTGATCACCTTAAGTTCTCTTCCAAAGGATAAAATAAAAATAGTGTTGCTGTAAGTTCCTGAATTGTGACTCAGCAAAGAAACTGAGTCTATTAAACTGAGTCCTTAGAGTCTATTGAACTCTAAAGTCTTTAGATTATGGCCACTTGGTACACCAAAGCAGGAGAAAAGGCTTAGATTTTAAGCTTTTCAGAGTTATGAATTAGTAACTATTATCTTTTTTTCCCTTTTAATTTTTTAAAAAAATTTTTATTTTATTTTATTTTTGGTACCAGGAATCAAACTCCGGACCTTGTGCTTGCCAGGAAGGCGTTTATGCCACTGAGCTGTATCCCCAGCCCTTTCCCTTTTTTATTTTTAAATTTTTTTTAGTTTTTTTTTCCGGTACCGGGAATCGAACTCAGGACCTTGTGCTCGCCAGCCAGGTGCTGTGCCGCTGAACTAAACCCCCAGCCCCACTTTCCCTTTTTTAAAATCATTGTCTCTCTGTGTAGTTCAGGCTGGCCTTGAACTCACTATGTAGCCCAGGCTGGCCTTGAACTTGTAGCGGTCCTCCCGCCGCAGTCTCCCGAGTGCTGGGATTACAGGCGTGCGCCACCAGGCCCGGCTTAACTACTACCTTTTAACACTAGATCAACTAGTGAAGTAGTAGCTAGCAATTCTCAATGGCGCAAAAGATACTTCTAATACTCTTGTTACAAAATTTTGGAGGCTCCTCTATCCTGGTGGCAACTGTGACCTATACAACAGAGATCTATGCTTTCCATCTCAGATTAACATTGTTTATGCCTTCTTAGGGCAACAGCCCTAACAATCTCTGGTCTTTTCTTTTGGAAAAGAAATGGTAACGGAAAGACAAATAAATGCAACTTTTCAAATGGGAGTTGAGGAAGTTAACTTTCATCATCAATATTCTGTATGCTTACAGGGAGAAAGTAGTTGGGAAGCAGTACAAAAGGTGTAGCCTTAAAAACCATCATTTAAAATATTAAATATGGGGGTGGTGTTGGCGTACACCTATAATCCCACCACTCGGCAGGATGAGGCAGGAGGACTGCCACAAATTTGAGCCTTGCCTGAACTACCTAGTGAGACTCTGACTCAAAAAAAAAAGGAAAGAAAAAAAAAATTTAAATACAAAAATACTAAATATAATTTATGCTTTTCAGAACTACGGACAGTTATGAGCGACTGAAAAGCAGCATGAACAGAATGACTGTCCCCCTTCCTCCTGCCGCTGCTTTGCTTCCTCGTCTCTGCATGCTCCTCAGCGCGTTTAAGACTTATCGCTTTCCAAGATGTCCAGCACGCCTACCTGTAGCAGCTTCTCTCCCCTCTTCTAATTTGCTGCGGTGGAGAAACCAGATATCCAAGCTTGTTGGAGCTATGCATGCGGGAAAGAGCATAAAATAGGTTTGAGCATTTTTGCGTGAGTATAATATGTGACCTTTCACTGTTCAGACTTTATGGTATCTGCTTCAATTACGCTGGAAACTTTTACCTACTGCATCTCTATTTATTCCAGGTAAAATCTGAGCACGTACTACATTTACTTAAAATTAATTTTCTTTTTCTGCTTAACCATATTATAACAATAATTAAGCTTCAATAAGGAATATTTTATTACATTTTAAGCTAGCATGAATGACTGAATTTCCTATAGGAAAGGGAGAGCCCACTGTACCAGGTGCTAACAGGCATTTTGTATGGTAAGGTAGCTAACAACACTGCGATTTTATGAATGAGGAAATGGGGGCTGAGCAGCAACAGCACAGGCCCACGGAGAAGCGGGGGTGCAAGCCCAGGTCTACCCGGGTACTATATTCCGTGTACCTTCTTCTAATCTCTCACTTAGCAATGAGAAGTTCGGTTTACCTCTTGCTTAAAAGACCTAAATTTTAGAATGAGTCTTAGACAGGTATGACTAAAAATTAGAAAGGTATTAAATAATTCTACTGATTTTTAGTGCCAAGAAACATCCCACAGAAATCCAAGTACTGTGCATTTCACGGTAAAAAGTCATATCCAGTAGATTTAAAAATGTAGCACGACTTTAACATAGATGATACTCAAAATAAAAACTTTGTTTGATACATTTTAATATTAGTATGTTATTTGTTTATGCAAGTCACATTTTGATACCCCAAACTAAGGGGAAAAGTTTAACCTTTTAAGTGACTCCATATTTAAAATAAATTTTCAAATAATTCTTATGTACTCACTAACTAAGGTCTAGTCAAGATCCTCATTTGTTTTTTTGTTTGTTTGTTTGTTTTCCGGTACCGGGAATTGAACTCATGACCTTGCGCTTGCCAGGCAGGCGCTGCGTTGCTGAGCTACATCCCCAGCCCCGAGATCCCCATTTGTTAAGACATGAAAGGAGAAAAGCATTTGATGTGTATTTTACTACTTTGGAGAAAGAATGACAATTGACCCTTAGAACAGTGTGGGTTTGAGCTGCACAAGTCCACTTGTATGTAGAGCTTATTCCATTTTTTTTTTTGAGATATGTGACAATTGAAAAAACTTCCATACGCAATAGCCTAAAAATGTCAAAAATTTAGAAAACGATATGCTCTAAATGCATAAAACATATGTAGTTAGTAGTTTTTTCCTCTTTCTACCATAAAATACATGCAAATCTTATGGGAAGTTTAAATTCATCAAAACTTATGCCCACAGACGGCACAAACACCATCTAGCCAAGGGAAACGTAAACGAATGTGAAGACGCAACATTCATACCCGGCCCACTGCAGTTCGCAGGGACCTCCTGCGATTACTGCTCAAGTATGGTCAACACCCACCGCATTTAAATACATGCGACGTAACCGCAATACCTGCAGCGCTTAGTCTCCAGTGAACTACCTGTGTGAAGCAACAAGACACCTTCCACAACTCTTCGCTATCTTTCACCACGAACAACACACAAAGTCTATGTCAGTGAACGGTTTACGTCAGTGAGCGGCTTCTGCTCAACAGTACCCTACCAGTAAAATTAGAGGAGTCAAAAGCTAGGGGCTAGAGGTGTAGTTCAGTGGTAGAGCACTTTCCTAGAACGTGTGAAGCCCTAGGTCCAATCCTCAACACTGTCCAAAAAACAATTTATGTGTAGATTTTCTACCCTACAAAGGCCAGCACCCCTAGCTCTCAAGTTGTTCAAAGGTCAACTGTACTTATAATACTTTGAAAAAATAATTCCTCATATAAGCTTGAATAGCTGACATAAAATCTGTATTAATGTGGCCTCTAACAGAGGAGTTACAATAAAAAGCACCCTGCGTCGGTTATAGATTCCATTACTCAGTTCAGAGCAATTATCTTCTTACATCTTTTGAAAAACATGTACTTACTGTTCCCAACCTGGTCGACCACCGCCTGGACGAGCAGCATTTATTCTTACTGGACCTTATAAACGAAAAATAGAAGCCATCAGTAAATACGAAATTGCATGCTGGATAAGGAGTCGTAAGGTCCAAATCAAAGTAACTTTACTCACCAGTTGTAGGGATCAGCTGTCCGTGTAATAATGACTGTCCAAGCAATGATGGGGTTCCAAGAACAGGGACCTGGTAACCCTTTTAAGAAGAACCACAAATAAACAAGTATAGTTAAAAAAGAAAAAAGGACAAAAGAGAATAGTTGAAAAAAACAAAATTAAAAAAAAAACCCCAAAACCCCAACCACAGAAAAGTTGGAAAGCCAGTAAATTTACCTTCTCTTCCATAAGAGCAGTAATTGCAATTGAAGAAGCTCCTTTTGAGTGCTCTGACGCAAGGGCTGCAGCTGGCAATATTTTAGTATCAGAATCCCTAGAAAATAATGTAATTGTAATGCATTAAAAAGTCATCCAATATGGTACACTGTGAGTGAAAATAACTCTATCTCTAACTGTCCATCATCAAGATGTGTGAAGTCAAAGATGATGAACATTCCTGAGGAAAGGAAGGACTCAGTCTTCGGTGAGTTCTTTATGCATAAATACAAAAGTAAGAAGGAACTACCTTAAGAACTACTACATCTGCTGGCCATGGTGGTGCATGCCTGTAATTCCAGCACTGGGGAGGCTGAGGCAGGAGGATCACTTTGAGTTCGACGCCAGCCTGAACTCACAAACTACGAAGCCAGCCTGAACTGCATAGTGAAACCCTGTCTCAAGAAAAAAAAAAGAACTACTACATATAGCTGGGAGGGGTGCGCCACTCTGTAAGCCCAGCACCCAGGAGGCTGAGTTAGAAGGACTGCTATGAGTTTGAGACCAGCCTGAACCACATTATGAGACCCTGTTTCCAAAAAACAAAATTATTACATATGATAGAAAGCACTTCCATGAATAGTAAAACTTCAAAAGGAAGTCAAAAAAAGTCCAAAGTATATGCTAAATAAATACCAAAGGACATAGGATTAGGACTAAATTTTGGTTTAACTCAACTACTAAACTGAAGGGGTGATCTTGGATGTGCCATAGGATTCTCTGGGCCTCATTTCATTTGTTCTCTGACATTGAGAAATACAAACTTACCGGAAGGGTCCATCTGACTTCTCTGAATGGACAGATATGGAGACAGTTGCAGTTATGTCGGGTACAGGAGCTGGGGTAGAAGATGGATTTCCAGGTACAGAAGAGGCCAAGGAAGACTGACTTGCAGTTAAGGAAGACAAAGAGGGAGCTGAGTGGGCAGATGAAGACGTCACTGGAATCATCAGAGGGTCCTGCTGCCGTGATATCGGAGATCTCATCAGAGGCTGTAGGTTTCGCTGAATGAGTGGTCTTGGAGGCGGGATCGGGGGTGGCGGGGGAGGTAACTGTTTTCGGAGTCTTTTTGTATAGCCAGTTTCATTTTTGAAGTTATTAACAGCCTACAGATACCAAACATAAAAGTGCAGAAATACATAATTACACACGTTTATTTTGTATTTATTTATTTGGTACCAGGACTTAAACTCAGGACCTTGTGCTTGCCAGGCAGGCACTGTGCCCCTGAGCTGTATCCCTGACCCCAGAAATACATAATCTAGCTTCCAATCAAGTAACCGTTAAATGCTTAAATTTACTTTCATTACAGGGTACAAAGATAGCTACCTGTCGTAAGAATTTGTTGGCGATTAAAGCATCAGGAGAGACATCATTCTGATGACAAGTTGGACAGGTATGGTCATCCGATTCCAGGAGTGCTGTTCTTATACCTACGTGTGAACGAATTTTCAGTATTAATAAAACATAGGACCAACTTGGTACCTGCAGAATGAATTAGAGACGGACTACATTTCTTCTGATAAATTACTGTTTTCCAAACACAGAACTGTGAAATCTTTTTCATAGTAGTCCTCTGCTCTTTCTCTATGACCTCAGCTACCTCAGAAAGCCACAGATACACTTAAACAAAGTGTAAACGAGAAGAAACCCCCTCCTAAACGAAGTGTTTTTGTTTCGCTGGTAATCAAAGTGTAGCACAGGGTGACGGACTACGGCGCGTGTGCTGCAGCAGTTGCACCTGACAGCTCTGGCAGGCTCGCTGTCACCGGCACAGTGAGGAGAAAACAGAAGTAAGAGCAGTCTGGAAAAAGCAACAGAAATGTGCACTCGGCTCAGCGTTTCCGGATAATCACAGTACAAGGGCACTTTAAACAACAAGCATCACAGCCCGGCACGGCGGTCCACACTTAGAATCCCAGCACTCTGGAGTCTGCGGCAGGACGCTCGCTGTGAGTTTGAGGCCAGCCTGGACTACAGACTGAGATCCTGTCTCAAAAAAGCAAAACAAAACTAACACAAAACCCCCACATCATTCCGGTAAGGAAATTACACACCTGCAGCACAGCAGGGAGAAGCAAGATGAAATTGTACACTCACCACTTACATTTCAGTAAGCAGTTTGTTATCCGAAATATATTTTAAGTGACCTCTTCCTGACCTTGGTCTTCAAAGAGGCTTGAAAATAGTTACATTCTAAAACTATCTTTACAGATGAAAAAAAACCATACCAAAACAGAACACTAAAATTTTCAGATAACACCATTTTCTTCTGGATAAGAAGAAACAAACTCATATCACTGATATGACTGAGTTAAAAAAAAAAAAAAAAAAAAGCCAAAACAAATGGTGGGAAGAGACTAAGGTATCATTTAAAAATATTCCCAGAATTATCTAAGGCCCCAAAGGCTTTAAAATCTCTGTATACAATACAAAACATGTAGAAAACAAAATTCTCTACTAAAAATATCACATACAGCCACCCTGATGGAAGTACACGAGGGAGTTAATGCTAATATTTAAGAGCACAAAGAGGCCAGTGTTTAAAAAAACCAGACTTCTCACTATTAAATGCTCACTGGGCTGGGCGCGGTGCACGCTCGTACTCCCAGTACTCCAGAGGCCGAGGCAGGAGGATCACTGTGAGTTCAAGGCCAACCTCGGCCACACGTGAGAGCCTGCACTACCTAGCTAACCCTGCCTCAACACGCTAACCACCACCACAACGAAACACAGTGCTGGTCAAGGCCTCTCCAAGCAAAGGTAAGTATCCCGAGTGCACGTCTTCACTGGCTCTGGGTTCCTTACACTCGTCACAGTAGCTGTTTCCGCAGCAGGGAATGACGACGGCGTCAGTCATAATGTCTTTGCAGATCAGACACAGCAGTTCATCTGGGATCGGGTCGTCCTCTTCTGAAGAAGAAGATGGCTCCTCTGGTAAGAAGGGTGGCTTTTCTTTCTTCCCAATTGCATACGCTTCTCTGTGAAAGAAGGTTTCAACGTTTTAACAGTAAGAGGACAAAATAATCATGCTATATGTTCTACTTTATAATTGGAACATATAATTCAGTACAAGGCCCATCATTTTAGGTAAGTAAATCTTCCAAAATGAGGGAGCTGTTATGCATACCCTCTTCGTACACAAAGACACAAAACTCTATACAAGAATAATGAAAAGAAGTAAAGAAATGATAGAAGGAGTGAAAAGGATCCCAGAATGCTTAGCTCTTAAGAACCGAGAGTCACAGAAGCCGAGCCTCGTACTCGGTGCGACAAAGTTTTACCCTCTGCCAGCACGTTTTTGAAAAAATAAGTAACCAACACATGCACCTGCAAATCTAACCGTCGCCAAAACCGTGAAGTTATTACACAAATGCTGCAAGATGGGAAATTAAAATTGGTATTGACATTATACAATTAAAGAGGGATACTTCAAGGGAAATATTTTACTGCCACACAATTAATTAACAGAATAGTATTGAGACTTCAAAACCATTATCTACTATAATTACTATCCTAAGAAATTAACCTATTTATAATCAGTTTAAAAATCTGATCTGAAGGCTCAAATTATGTGCTACAAATAGAAATATAAAGCAACATCTCATTAGACATTCAGAGCTCATTTTTTCTTAGAAATGCATCTGCAAAAATGTTGGGTATTAACTCTATTAAAAAAACCCCAAAAGCTATTTTCAGATTTGTCACCGCTGTTCCCACACCCCACCTTTGCATCGAATTTGTAAGGCACAGGAATTCCTAGAGAAACCCTTTCTACTTCCTTTATGAAAAGACTGTGTTATCTCAATGCTGAAAATTAGAGCCTCGGCCGTATGCAGCAGGGTACCGTAGGTGTGTCATCTGGGTTGCAGCTGCTCCACTGACATCACCACGATTCCAGAAATAAGTATCAATTTGCTTATGCCCCACCGCTCCCAATTTGTGAAAGAGGAGTCTCCCACTGCCCAAGAGAGAGAAAAGAAAGGAAGGAAAAAAAGGAGAACAGAGGATACAAGAAACAGAGGAGTCTGAGCTGCGTATCAGTGGTGTTAGTGGAGAGGGTGCAAGTTTCATTTAAAATATTTGGGCTCCCATCTGTCCCCAGTATTTGCTGTGTGTCTGACACAAAAGGGCTTTCTTCTCAGCACTCAAAAGTCAGTCAGTCAGTTCACAGAGCTGACAGGTGACGCTAACTTTCCCAACACAAATTTTTACTTTGAAAGAACTCCTACATGACAGAGATGCAGTGGTCTGCTCTTAGACTGACAGCATTACCCATTTCAACCTGAAGTGGTTAGAAGCTTCCGTAAGGTATCTCTGAATTAGAAACAGCGTAACAACAGACTGTTCTCAGATGAGCCACAAAAACACAGGATGGTGACTGATAAAGTCGATGGGGGTGAAGCTGAGGAAGGGAGCAGGGTGGGGCGCTCGGGAGAGTCATTCCTACTTGTGAAACACTCCGTTCTCATACACATGTTCAGAAAGTCTTTTCAGTTCCCGTTCCACAGTGACTCTCTTCACCATCCCTACCTGCTCACTGTGTATAGTTCAGTATTTAGAGCACAGAGCTAAGGAAAAATGTGGTCCTAAATACTTTTAAAGTTTTCTTTTGTCATTGAAAATACCTATTCTCTGAACTGATGTTTTTCAAGGTAAAACCTGAAGTTAACTTCAGTTTCCTGGAAGACTTGTTAAAAATGCATAATCAGGATCTTATCACATAATTCCTAAATAAAAAACTGGGGTCTTCAGCAGAACACTCCGAACCAGTCCAAAGGAACACTTGATATCATGTGTTCCCAGCTGCTGATGGCAGTCACAAGGTAACTGCATATGCTGCTAAGGGCGGATAAAATGGAGTGTTACCTAGCTGGCCTGAAACATTACATTTTTGTATCTGTTCCTTTCACTAAAAACGGGCTCATGAAATAAAATCTCAAAACACTAAAAATAAGCATGAAGGTGTTTTATAAAGCTATAGCTGGTCTGAATTAATGGTGAATGAAATAAACTCTACTTTAGAATCTGAAGACTTCATGGTATGTCCAAACTTATTCAAGATTCCTCAGTATTTCACTTATACTTGGAATTCTGCCTCACTAACTTGCAGAACTTTTAAGCTTATTTCTGAAAATGATTATATCCGTTTTGGTCACTTAAGAAATGCAAACAGTATACATGTAAGATAATGTGGAAGTATGTACGTGAATGAGCAAGCGGAGTATGACAGTAAAAGAAAAAAAAATTAGAAGACTACAAGGGAAGTGGCCCTCACTGACGACAAAAATCCCCAAATCCACTTGAAATTTGCTTTAAATGGAGCAGACTGCAGCCTTTCAGTGCAATTGTGGAAACTACTGATCTGGAGACACAAAGTTCCCAACAAACTCAGACAGACAAGAAAGAAGCCCAAGACCGCACGGCTCTCCCGGGGCGGGCGCGGCGAACTCGCACACTTACGCATCTATAGTAGGGATTGCGTATTTTCCAGTGTTGGTCAGCATTGCACCTTTCATGTTAGGGTCTTTTACTTCCATCATAAAACTTCTGGGAATTCCAGTGCTCTTTTTAATTCTAGGCCCAGACTCAAAGTTCTTATCCTGTTTGGAAGGAAAAGGGAAAAGAGAAAAAAAGCAGTCATCTTTATTTAACATCCATGAATATCACGCAGTGTTTACTAACTTACTTACAGTGTTTACAAAATTAACCTCATTTAACACAGCTGTCATGTGAGGTGAGTCCTACTAAGGTCATTACACAAAAGAAAGCACGCTCGGAGAGTTAAGTACCTTGCCTAAACCCATTCAGATATTAAATGGCAAAACCAACACAGGAAGCCTGGGAGCTCCGGCTCCAGAAGCGGTGCTCATTTGCCATTTTAACAGACAAATCAGTTTCTACCAAGGAGAAAAGTATGGCTAAGCAATAGTTCCAAGGAAAATAAATGTACCATAGTTTCTAGTTTGGACTCACCCCATTTGTTGGGCAATTCTTAATATAATGGCCAGGTTTACCACAACGGAAACATGTGTAAGATGGAGGTGGTGGTCCGAGAGGTTTCTTCATGTAACTAAAAAGGAAAACAAATACACTTACACACCGATTTCCAAATAATAAAGCTTTCGAATGGGGGCAGGGGAAATCTCCCCCAAAAGTTTCTGTTAGTATAAAGTATCTTTGAACTTACTTAATTGGGTCGTATTCATGGCCAGACTGTGACATCATTGCTTTAATTTTATCTTCTTCGGAAGCATTGGCTTCAGCCAGATTGGCAGTCTGTTTAACAGGTAATTATTTGACACACACATTAGAAACACATTTAAGACCACACAGCCAAAGACAACACCACTCATCCTGTAAAGAGCAGTATCTAGACTAACCTTGCATAAAATAGCTATTTACATGTAAGTACAACCTGGAAGCGGCACTGGGAGCTCCTTAGGTTATATGATGTCTGGGTGTCTGGGAGGCTGAAAAAGAAGTCTTTCTGGGGGCACTCAAACCTTAGACCCTGTTTGTACCTTCCATTAGGACTTGAGTATTATTGTTCTGTAAATCAAAGACTAAGGGCAAACACTTGACGTTCTAAAACCTTGAAAATACCTCAAGTGTCAGAGCACTGAGCACGGAGCCTAGTGTAATTTCATACTAACTGGAGGTGGGGTGAGGAGGGTGAACCAACACATTACACAACAATTAGAAAAGTCAGAAGGCTCTTCAGGGTCGAGGTGTCAGTTTCAAATTATGTACAAAGAATGTACACTTTAAGCATTTGTAACTTTAATTCAACTCTCCAGATAAATTTTATGAACTTTATCTTTAAGGTATTATATATAATAGTGTAGATATAAGCAGGGTCTAAGGGAGCGATTCTAATTACCTGAATCTTCAAACATCTAGCACTCATACCAGCCATTCACTGGGTTTTGTAACTTTACATTCATTCACAAAACAAGCAACCAGTTTTAACATTTTATTGTAATTTTATATACAAAGAATGCTTAACAGTAACAGAGCTTAGAACAGCAGCAACATTTACAGAAAACTGATTACAGATGTTTAACAACTAATTTGTTTGAACCCAAACATTATATTACAAATAGATAAAAAAAAAAAAAAAAAGAATCCCCCAAACCTCTAAAACTCCCCAACTCTTTCCCGCAAAGCAACAATTGTAGTAATAGACCAAAACTCAAATGCGGCCCTTACAGTACACAAGGATAAAACCAGCAGCTGCAAACTGATGATGTTAGCTCTAGCTTAAGTTACTCTGCATGAAGAAGTTATAAAGTAAAATGGTTTTACTCCACTGATTTAGCATCATCAAGTTTAACGTGTGGTTTTCCTAGGAAAGGGTCTTAAAAAGTAATTGTCTGTTAGTAGGACATCTCGGAGGGATACACCCTAGGGAAAAAGGACACAACCTACAACGAAGCCAAGGACAAGATAAGGACAACACTACTGGAGAATCCTTTTTATTTATCTTGGTTGGCTAACTTGGTTTCGTATTTCTGATGCCAGGGAAAAAAGGATTTTTGGAAAAATGGACAACTTCCTTCTTGGCCCTCAAAAGTCACCCTACTCTTCTTCCCCCTAGGCACCATGTGCAAGCTAAATTGGTTTTTAAAAAAAATCCATCACTTGTACTTTCCCAAACCAAAGATATACATATTGAGCCGGAAATGCAAGCAGTCTTATCGTAAAACATGACATACACAACGGTTTCAGGAGGTAACAGTTTGTCCCTCTGTCAAACACACACATTGGTATACTCCTGTGAACAGTTTTATACACTTACATAATTCATGTAGTCTGTGTTCAAACAAATTAGGTTGTTTAAAATGTTTTCTAAAGCAGACAGCCTACAGCATAAAGAAACAACCGTAACATTTAAAATAATGATCTTCATGGGCTCGACTCAAATAGTCAAGAAATAATCAGACTGTCCAGGTAAAGGAAATCTTCTGCTTTGGCTGCTCAAAGTCCACATAATTTACAGCCCAAACCAGGGGATTCCTCCAGAACTTTGTTTCCAATGTATAATTAAAATGTATGAGGGGAAATGGTTAAGTATAGCTTCGTGTGTTTCTTCTGTCTTGAAGATGAACAATACTCCAACATTATGCTGAGACTGACAAAGCACTCCCCTACCTTCTCAAAACAGAAACTACTCTTTACAGGATAGTAATATATACAATGGTTTTGCAGAATATATCCTCCCCCAACCCATTTAAAAAAATGCTTCCACATAAAATGTTAGAAAAAGACATATTTTCAAGAATATATGTATATATACCTTTGTAAGCTGGGCCAGAGTAATAGATGCAGAAGAGTCATCAATCTGTTCATAAAAAATTAAACACACATTCAAGTTCCACACTGAAAACATCTGGAAGTGATCACTTAGCCCCTAATGTCACTTAATGTTCAAAATACTGGGCATTTTCTTAAAAAGACTGTTTTCTTTCAAGGCTGCTAAGTGCAGCTCAACCTAGTTCCTTTTTACACCATTTTACCCCCAATATAAAAGTTATTTGTTGAAGGGGACTTAACTACAAGAAAAATAAGATCAAATAACACAACCTGTTACACACGCAATCTGTCCGGTGTTGTGCCTAAATACATTGCAGTCCCTTGTCTCTCCATGGGTTCTGCATTTTATAATGCTCAAGACAGTGTGCACCGGTAGACAGTAAGAAATCTAAACCTCCCCTATGTCATCATACAACACTGAAAAAACAAGCAGCTCCTTAATGGCTCAGATAATTCCTTTAATAAACGACAGCTGTCACATCATGGCTACATTTTTCTTTCACGAGCATGTACTGCTCAGTTCAAGGAAGTTTATTTTCCCATATAAAGACTTAACAATAGTTTCTGGCCAACGAAACCACCGCTTTGTCAGAGCAAAGATGTTTAGGGGAAAAAAAAAGAAAACCAAAGGCATCCAGGGTAAACAGAGCTGTCACACATGATCAATGGATTCTAATATTTGGAGAAAAGTTACTTAACCAAACAGGGCAAATATGTATGAAAATTATAAGAGGGCTTTAAAAATATAACATTTAAAACTTTTCATTTTCTAAAACGATGTTAGCTTATAAAGGTATGTATCCGCATGTTACACACATACAAATATATCTTCAGCAAATACTGTCATCTTGAACACGAGCTCCTTACAGCTTTCCATTTAATCACAGTGTTGCTTATTCAGTATTTTATAAGCTTCTCATGCACTGTTGGTCAGAACTGTTCTTTAAAATGGAGAGAATGTAAAAAATGTCTGGTTCAAAGAAAAAGTCTTCACTGGGTATTTTTCTAAGAGCATTAATTAAAAGCATGACTTAAGACTCCAAGCAAAATGTAACCATTTTCAGTGTGAACTTCTTAACCAATGCCCAGGCAGAAGGGATTTAATAAATGTAAGTAAAAATAATGGCTACACTTGAGACACATCTTACAAATATTTTATAGTTTTAAATGTTAGCTTGATAGGTATTATTACTGGGATGTTTATCTGGACAAAAGGTTCTTTGCTCCGTGCTTGGCGGGGGAGGGGGAGGTTACACATTTCAAAATACATTAACTCCACATTCCTTGTGTGTAGCCACATAACCCCACCAATGGGTTCTCACTCTTGCTCAGCTTTGAAGTAACTTTTCCTTTGAGAAATAATCTCAAGAAGTAGAAGAGCAATGGAAACATACACATTCTATTTTTATCCAGAATAAAACCCAACCTACTCAATCTATTTTTAAAAGGGTTACTGTACACTTCACCTTAACCAGGAGTTACCAGAATGTACGTAGCAAAGACTGAATTGCTGTCACCCAGCCTCCATCTATACTATGCTTCTAACCAATGAAACCAAGTAACCTTTACACATAGTTCATTACCGCAACAGGAGTACTGGTGACTTCCTTAGGAAGAAAGCAATCCATTATATTTTCTTATCGCTGGAACTGAAAAACTGGTGTTTTAAAAAATCTTCCCAAACCTCTAACATTTAACTTTCATTTTAGTTTTTTATGCTGGGCTATCTTTCCTTTTCGCTTTCTGTCATTAATTATACTGTATATTTATTGAGTTGAGAGTGGTTTCAAATATGCAATCACATCTCCATCATGTTTTGCCCACCAAATGATCACTATAGCACCTAAATACACTTGCAAATTTGTCAGATTTATCACAAATTTAGAAAGGCATTTAATCTTATTTTCTACATATTGCAAGGTGTTAAGAAATGAGTAAGAAATGTTGATAAAGAGTGGTTTAAGAACATTTAGGAATTTATATATGATAAAATGTCAGTAAAAATACTGACTTTTTGGTGAGATGATCAGGTAAAGTACTAATGTTAAAAAAAAATCTATCGCATTAAAAAATATCTTCACAAAACTGGGACGTATTGTAAAAACTTATTCAAATTAACCCACCTCTCTACATCTGTTTAGGGGGTTGTACTTCTGGAAGCAAGGACCTGACATCTTTTTATGCCAATTGCACTTGACTGACATTAAAGGATCCTACACACTGTAATTCTCACACCGAGCAAGAATAATACCCAGCTTTGGAGTACCCACACGGAAAGACGACTCAATAAAAAGGCTGCAGGGTACAGAAACAGCCAGCCTGAGCAAGAGTTGGCTTAAGTCACCAAAAATATACATCCATAACCAGAACAAAACATTTAGTTCAAGGCCTCTGTTTGTTTTTGTGACTATGTACACTCCACACACTTTTGAAGACTCCTAAGATGGACACTAATTATGTATGAGGAATATATTCTCTCATTCCGAATGTCAGCAAATGTACCCCAGGCAAATAACAATGGGGTAAGTTACTTAATGTCTTCATTTCAGGTAATTCTACCGAAAAATTAAAGCCACTCTACAAACATTAAAAAAAAAAAAAAAAAAAAAAAAAAGGAAAGAAGAAACCTAAATAAGCTTGAAATAAACTGCTTATAAATGTAATACAGACATGCCAGGGAACACACAGGGCTAAAAGAATGTTAACTTTATTTATGAACATGTGACTTGTGTTTATACACATGCTAATAAACAAAAAGGAAATAATTATTATCAAGAAATAAAACTTCATCTGAATTCGTTTAAATACTATATAAAAAATGTACTTCATACAAAATGTGTTACATTTACTACTACAGTCACCAGGATAGTCAATCTTTTTTGTGCTAGCATTTGGATACATAAAAATCAGCTTTAAACCAACCATCAGCGAAACAGAAACTCAGACAAGTTTTACAGCATTATGCTTAAAAAAAATCCCATATAGCCTAAAAGAGGGAGAAAACCACCCCCAAACACTAAGACTTTTGATCTTTGAATCACTGTATTTAGTTCCATGAGAACTAAAGGCCATATACTTTTGAAAACAAGTTCAAAGTTCTGTTATCATGTTTAAGATTCAATGATCCAGGTTAGCGAAATGCCTCACACACAAAGATCACTAATACTCAAAAAGTAAATAGCAAGCAATACCCTTGATTTCTAAATGAAGATTTCAGACGTCTTGCAATGTGTACAATATCAAGCCTGCGCAGTCCAATGTTTAGAGAACCATCAAGTTTACAGAACCCAATTAAGATAGACCTGTATCTTCGAACCGATGTTTCACACTACAATTTAGGAATGCTGCTACCTTTTACTTAAGAGCTCAGTCAACACAGTGTCACACTTGAGGTCCATCTGTAGTTATAAAAATCAAAATACTACCCTGGCTGCAGGGAGTTATCTCTGATAAGCTATAGCTTTCAACAGCCTACAAGGAATGTAGCATTTTAGTATTAAGAAAAAGGGAAATATCTTAATTTAGGCATTTGAACAGATTAGAAAGAAGTGTAAGACCATGTATTAAATTTTGAAAACAATATACCCACTGGTATAAAATCACCAACACACTTTTGTACTCTTGCAGACTGAGCCAACTTCAGTTTACACTTTATAGTACAGGTGTAAGCAAAGGACAGGAGCTCAAAACTGGCAAATACTGCAAGACTAATAAAACTCTATCAAGGGTCTCTGGAAAGCTCTTTCCTATGATGTATTTGAACTCAAAGAAAGTAGCAAACTGTAATGTAAGCTTTGCATGTTGCTAATGCATTTTTGAAAGCCATTATGAGGTAGGAAAAAAAAACTAACAAAAACTAAGTGATACAACGTGGAAATGGCAAAATATACACTCCAAACATTTTTTTATTGCAAGAAACAAAAAGCACACAACAGCCTGTACATACATACAAAATACTAACTATAGACAGACAGATGTAGAACATGTTATCATGTTCATTAGTGTAAAACCTACATGACCTAAAAAGGATCATACATTACTGTACAACACAGTGTCATACAGGAAGAATGCTACCATATTTAATAGGAAACAGTGCTATGGGCACAAATTACCCACGTCTACAGAATGAGTGTGCAAATTATGCCATGGATATCCAGTTTAACTGAGCTGTCATCAAAATACATTTTATTTACAATATGTGCTACGGTCAGTTGGATATTAAGTTCTAAAATGATTTACTTCACTGCAACATTATAAAGGTAAAAGCAATGTGTAGAAAAAAGTGTGAGATTGTGTTTTTACATACTGCTTTTGTAGTTCCCATCACTGGTTCAGTTCGACTTCTAAAAAATAAAAGATAAAAACGTATGTTAGCTATTTGTGAATTTTTATGCTAATAAAACTTACTATGTCTCTCCAATCACAGTTTTAGGGATACAGTTCTCCTTTTGTATGAAGATTTAAATACAGTCCATTTCTGAAGTAATGGATAAACTACTTTAATCTTCACTACCTTTGAATAATTTAAGATACATCTGGCCCTAAAAAATTTCCATAGTATGCTACAGTTCTAGAATAGGTATACCTTGCCACTTACAATAAATACTTTCTGAAAGGCTGTCTGAGGATTTTTTACGTTTAGGAACTCTGGCTTATTAACAGACTGAAAAATTATTTACTTGTTTTTTAATAGGTCCAGATGTACACATCAGATTTCCACATCAGATTTCCACATCAGATTTTTTTAAAGCAAGATCAGTATTATTAACATTGTGGTTCGGATCCCTGAGAAAATGCTGCTCTCTAAAAGCTAATTTTCAAATCTGGAAAGGTTAACAGTTATTTTCATTTTTAAATGTTTTTAAATAATGCTCAAGGACAGAGTAAGAATTCAAACTACCAGGAAGATGCAACCTAAAAACTGAGTATTTAAAAGAATGAATTAAATGGTTATATAAAACCAGGCAATTTTAATCCTCATATATTAAAAGAATATACGAATCAACCCGAAAGGGAATTTCTTTAGTACACACAGGAAAGGGGATAGAAAATGCCAAATACAGCTTTAGTTTTAAGTTTATGGTATCCTGACTATAGAGAAATGTTAGATAACATCTAAAAGGAATTTTTAGGTTTTGCATGATTTGGAGGTTCTGAAGTTAGAAAGAAAAAAAAAAGATTTTCATGAACTCTGACATTTTATGAGGCAAATTTATTACAAATGAAATCTGAGGGGGGCTGGGGTTGTAGCTCAGCGGCACAGCGCCTGCCTGGCAAGTGCAAGGTCATGAGTTTGATTCCTGGTACTGGAGAAAAACCAAAGCCAAAACCAAAAAAACCCAAAAAAACAAAAACAACAAAACAACTGAGGTAATATGAATTAGCATCCAATTTTAATTGGCAGCTTATTTTGCTATGTATTTCAAAGAATTCTTGTGCCCAGAATTTCTCAGTATTAAAAAAAAAAATCCAAAGTTTTGATTTTTTTAAAAAAGCACATGTAAAATATAACTTCATACTAAAATGTGGGCATTAACACTCAAGCTAGAAGCACACTGGGTGTGGTGGGGCGCACCTCTAGTACCTGCACTCTTGGAAGCGGAGGGAGAAGGGTCACAACTTCACACCCAGCTACAATTTAGAGAGACCCAGTCTCCAAAAGGTCTGGGAATAAAGCTCACTGCAAAGGCCCTGAATTCAATGCTAACACTACTAGTATTACAAAAAACAAAAACAAACTCAAAAGCACTCATAAATAAGTTAACTTGTTAACTACAACAAAAAGATTTTTGAAGTTGCTACTCTTCAGAAGGTATTACCCAAAAGGACCTCCAACTGTTAACACATAAAATGTAACTTTGCCACAAACTGGTAAGAAAAAAATCTCAGCACACTTGCCCACATGAGCTAAAGCTCCAAGAAATGAATATTTTATCTCAAGTCCACAAATACATTCCATTTTTTAGGACTGGCAAATTCTGAAATTTTTCACTGACCCAAAAGAAGATTTTGCCAAAATTCTGAACAAAGATATCCAACTTCTCAGTGGAAATCGTTACCCTTACGTAGCCCAAGTTGTTGTGCTATTCACATATTCTAGTTCTATCACTATTAAAATTGCAAGAAAGCAGAAGTTAAGGATATAGAGTTTTCATTATGTGTTTCTTCAGTGAACATAAGCACTAGACTACCCCTAGGACTGCTGTGTTCTTACTCCAATAATCGGCATGCACCAAGCACCATTAACTCTTACAACTCTAAAAGCTGGAGAACAACTGTCCCCTAGGTGTTAAAGGGGAACTAGACTCAGGACCTTCACCTTTACACCTTGCAGATACCCAAGTCTTCTTGATGCCCCCAAGTCTCATATGTAAAACAGCATGTATTTCTATAAAACTGACTGAAATCTTCCTTACACTTTAAATGATCTCTAGATCACTTGTAATACACAACATGATGTAAATGCTAGTTATACTGTAGTGTTTAGAGTGACAAGAAAAAAATCTACGCATGTTCGCTAGGGATGCAATCATCAGGCTTAACTACAGGCACACTCCAGAAACAATGTAACCAATATTCCCCCCCAATCTTTTCAACCTGCAGTTATGAAGACATCCAACCCCAAGGTAAACTGCACTTATACCTGTTTAAAGAAATCTGAGACACAGACACTTTAGATAACCCACCAAAGTGTCACAACCGGCATAAGCCAGTAATATGCTCGTAAACCCTATATACCCCATGGCCTCCCAACCGAAGCCCCTTACCGATGAAGGAGTATATGCCAGCATCACTGAATACTCGATGCGTTCAAAATATGCAGGACAGAGCCCCACAACATACTTGGTTTTTTGGCGGGTGGAGCGGTGTACATGGTCTTGGTATGTTACCTAGCCTGGCCTCAAGTTTATGATCCTCTTCACTTCAGGCTCCCAAGTAGGTGGGATTATAGGCATGTGCCACCAGCTCAGCTCAGCATGTATATTTTTGGGGTAAAGAAAATACTCCATATAGAGCAAAACTTTTTCTTAGTAACTGCTTACTTCTAAGTATATAGCCTGAGTCAGTTTAACCAGAGGACACTATGGGCG